TAATTCATATTTTTATTTATTTATTAAAATATAAAAAAAGTCATGACAATCAGTTAATACTCCGTATATTTCGCATAGGATTTATATCAGAATAAAATAATTTTATATTATATCTCCTAAATAGGGAGTGTGACACTGTTATAGTGGTGTTCGAACCATCAAAATGTCTTACTCCGTATAATACTCGTATATCCAATTGGTTTGTCCTTAGAATTTTACTTAGCATTTTGACACCAATTTGAATGCTGCATTTGGTGCAAGAAGTTCTGCAAAAATGGAGCTCCGTAATCACATTTATGTTAGAGGACATTTGACATACTACTTGATTAAGCTCCCACAAACCTAGTCACCCTTTGAGGCTCGAATTTAATCATGTTGTTTGGTTTATCTGGTAAGAAAATATTTTATTGTTCCAATCACTTTGTATGTTTAATGAAAATTGTGGCACTACATTCCACAATGTTTCTTCACTTTATTAGAGCCTATTTTGAAATAACGTTAACATTTTGAATAGACTATCTACGACAACATTTAGCGTTAGCATTTTCAAAGTAAACTGTACCTTTAAAATTTTATCCAAAACGCTAACGCTAATCCCAAACATACACTTACACACCAAACACTGCTCTCTATGCCCAATGTTGTGAAAATGGTGTTGTCTTCACTTGTTTACTCTTTGGCGTTTTAGGCCAAAAAAAGTATAATGAAACATGAAGTAAACTAAAAGACTTTATTTATCCCAAACAAATACTTGTATCTGATAAAGCAAGACATTCTACAACAACATTTGCAAGAACATATGGATATGTACATATAATAACAGTCATAAAAACATTGAAAAAAGCAGGGGAAAATGTATGGGTACACAAAATCTGGAACATGAAAAAAACAGTGTAATACTCTGTAATAGATAATAACATGCAGAAGCAGTCAATCATCCTTGCAATCCTTTGTTGTAGTAGTAGGCCTAGCTTCGAAGCCCCCACCCACCCTCGGCTCTAGAGTGTAGGGCATGTAAGTCCCAAGTAATCTGTCCCATGTCACAAAGAAGGGTTGGGAGAAGTTATACTTTGTCCCAAAAAGCTGGTGATGAATGTCGTGATACGCAGAGTTGTTCTTGAAACAGAGATGAAACGGATTCCCGGGCAACCAAAGTCCACAATGGTCGTCCACGGTTTTGATGGTCGCGAAGGAGAAGAAGAAGATTGCAGTCCTGGGGGACATGCCAGAGGCCAGGAAGGCCATAGCGCCCCCAATGGTGTCAAGAATCAGACCCTCCAGTGGGTGGTTGTACAGAGCTCCGAAAGCATAGGGGACCACAAGGCGGTGGTGTTGGGAGTGTATGTGTTTGTAGAGGAACTTGTTTTGATGCATGTATCTGTGCATGAAGTACTGCCATGTGTCAAGCACCGCCATTGCGGTGATGAATTGGCGGGCAAGACCGAAAAATGATGTGGGTTGGTCTGTGGCATCTACACTGTCGCTTCCGGTGACCTGCTTCATTTTTTGTTTCATTAGATTGGGGCACTTTGCATTATTATTATTCCCAATAATACAAATTTATTGAAACAAAGAAACAACGAATTTCTCAACTGATAAGAGAATCAATCCTATTAAGACTCAAGATTCCAAAGAAATAAGGTTCAATGAAGACACAATTGAGCCCGCCAAGAATTAAGATTGTGCAAGCCCACTAAATACATACACATAATTGATTAAACCAACACCATGATACAACACCAAACTAGAATCAGGAGGGAAAGTTGAAGATGACGGAAATATCAATCACAGTCTCCTTGCTTATCTAGGTACAGTATGTCCCTTCCATTTCAGCCCACTTTTTAAAGAAAAATATCAGAAATCAACTAGGTAATGTTAAGGTTGTCATACGTTAATTCTTAAGATTATAATGCCAATGGAAAATATTAATGACAAAAGAATTAAAGAAACATATCCCGCCAAAAATTACTCCTAAGGAGTATATGATAAAATCAGTGTTGCCAAGTCACGAAAACCTTAAATTCTTCCTTCCAAAAATAGAATCTTTTCCTTATCATACAATTTGCAAAACACTACACTAGCCTCCGGCAAACATATTGATTGCACAATTCCTTTATCAAGAATTCCAACAAAGATTACAGCTTTCAGCTCAGCTAAGCCTATAATCATTCATAAATGATGGAAGCTGTGCTATTTTTTTATCCGCACTTAAGATCCTTCAAACTAAGTCCACAGCCTTGGCAATTGTGTGATGACTGAGATCATCAGTTCATAAACAATACAAGCTTACATGCGTCGTTTTATACAGAGTAAAATGATTATAGATTAAACAAGCAGAAAACCCTAATTTTAGCTTGATTATAGCATTACCAGTTCTATAATTTCAAACTCACGACACTGAGCAAAGTACAGCAGAACACAAATTCATAATGACATGTAAAAGATCACAGGTTAGCCAAATTGGGTGCTTCAGAACTTACCGCAAAGAGGACGGCGGAGACGACAGCTTGCACGGCCTGTTGAAGGAAGACGCCCTTGACGACATCCTTCCTAGAGACCAGATTCTTCTCGTCTTCGTCCTTCTTAGAATGAAGCCTGTAATTCTCCAATCCTCCGAGCAGCAAATACAGGCCCGAATACAGCCAATACACCGCTATCGGCACAAACGTTCCCAGCAATTCATCGGACACAAATCCTCCATCCTGCTTCATCTCCGCCGCCTCTCCCCTCTTTTTTCCCTACTAGCAATACAGATCTACGCGGCGAATTGAAGCGGAAAGATCGGAGCTAGGGTTTCGGTGAGGACGGAGATCCGCCGTCCGGTGGGAAGAACAGAGAAACAACAGCAGAAGCGCTCGCCCGCCGTCGGGCCGAAGAGAAATCGGACCAATGGAAGCAGAGGGAATCGCCTTTGGGGGGGGGGGGGGGGGGTT